GCATATCAGAATTGGAAATACAAGTACGATGAACAATTTAAAATTTCAACAAATAATTCATTGCAAATACATTGTATATGACATAATCCTTGTCAATTTCAGTGTCTTCACGTTTTGAAAATCATTTGGAATTACTAAAATTAAAAATAAAGGTCTGCGACAGTAATTTTTTAATATTATGTTTCGATTCCCATATGTGAAGTGAGTGAAACACTACAAATTAACCATGTTACATTCAAGTATTCAATGTATAAAACAACTTCATTCTTGGCAATTTTACACATAATGTTGTTACATTATACTTGAAACACATTTACCCTGCGGTAAATTTGCAGTAGAATTGATTATTTCAAGCATACGTACCATTCTTCTCTGGCATATGCCACCACCTGATTCATGCCCAGGTTCTCCAATCCAGGATAATCCAAGAACACCTTCATCAAAATTCCGATTGGTAAAGGCAACAGACAGGCAGTAATCATTGTAGTTGCCCATTTTTGAAAATGTCCTAATATAATCTTCTGAATCTAGCATATTAGATGACGACAAGGCATAAGTGGGATCCATCAATGACTCTGCTGTATAAACTGTCAAATGTTTCAGAGCAAATGAAATATTATCTGCAACATTGTCCAAATCAAAGTCAATAGTCCTGTATATAATATTTAACTCTTGTATATGTACAATAACCTGCTCTACACTGGTAATCACTGATCCTTGCTTTTCCACATAAGTATGATCAGCCACAATGTTCAGTGTACAACACGTATTGCGCTCAACATATCTCTTTTGTCTCTTTGGTGGCTGATCTATGGGTTTTGCTTCTTCAAGTATTTTTTGCATCCAATCTGATGTTTGAGAGCTGTAACCACATTTGAATTGCTTGTACGGAAATTTGACTTCAGATACTCTGTATATAACAGAATGGAAGTCAAGAGATGTGCCTGCTTCATTTTTACTGTTGTGATACAGATATTTGTGCACTGGTTCCAAAATGAATTCATCATCAGTTGTTCTAATTTTCCCTTCAAATATTCCTTCTTCTGTCAGTACACCATGAACACTTGAATCATATTCTCCTAGAAAGTTAAATGTATTGTTAGAATAATAACTTTCTCATCAATTTCAACTACTACCGGTAGCTCATTTGAACCTATATTTGTTAATTAACCCTTTGAGCACCACATTTTTTGCCTATTTTTTAAAAAATATCTCAATCAAAATTTTGGAACAACAGGACAAAAATTATGTGGGTTTTATTTTGTGAATGACACAAAAGTTGACTTTGGCGCTCGAAGGGTTAAGAGTGATCCAGGCAGTTACATAATAGTTCTTGGAAATTACTGATACTAAAAACTGCCTGGATCATGGTTGAAAAGCAGTTTTTGTTTAATTTTTCATTCATCTGCTATGGATTTACTTTCTCACTTAGAATTTAGGTTCGCTATTTCTGTTGAAGGAGCATTATTATAATGATAATATAACATTTTTAATAGGCAAGAAACCTGTTGATCATAAAAAAAAAGGTTATAAAACGAGGTTATAAATAATTTTGACCAAATATCACTAAACATTTATCTAAAAAATATAAAAAAAAAGATTTTGTCACGAAACAAGTGGTTTAAAAATTAAAAATAGGAAATTTTGCACCATAAATAACGAAATAATTCAATTAAAATTACAGTTATGAACATAAAATTTTGAGATATTATTTACAGTTTTTAATTCATGGTGAATATTTTTGAAATGTTTGAACCAATATTGACTCTGAGTTGCTGCTCCACTCTAAGTAGCCATCACGGAATATACCTGAAAGACAATGTTTGATCACACTTGCTCATCTGCCAATACCGGTATATGCTGTTTTTTTTTTGCTTGATCAGAATGGCACATCATTAGCTAAAGATGCATATAGCGTAACAACAAAAAAGATTTCATACATATTTTAAAGAAAATATTATACCTTTTAAACTGCCAATGTAAATCTTTGATTTGTCAAAGTCAACCAGACTCCCATTACCAGTCTCAAGTAATACATCTTGAGTGAACAGATACCTGTCAGGTGTGAGATCTAATTCAAATAATCTTGAAAAAACAAAACAATTGTTACTACCGTAGTAAGTAATATATTACAACTGAATAGTCCAATATGTTACAGTTGGTGGATTAAAACCAAATTTGACTGTATGAAGATATTATCAACTGAAGGTACTTTTGTGCATTGGTACAATAACTGGTATTGCCTGTTTCATGCCTTGTTAGATTAACTTTGTAAAGTTCACACAGAGATGACTTAAACAATTGTTGGTGTCAAAATAAAATCCAAAAAAATTAGGTTGGATTAGTTTGTTGCCTGCAGGGAACAGGATTGTATAATTTTGTTTATAAAATGCTAATTTTCTTTTACCAAATTCAACAATAGTGAAACATTTCTGAAATTAACTTTTCCAATGTATTAGTTTCTATTGAGTCAATGAGGCACAAGAGAATAAACAAAATGGTAACTAATTGTAACATGTTGTGCATCATAAAATTTTATATGAAGATTTGTATTTTAAATGTGAATACTAACATCGCACTAGATGTCACATTTTTTCTTCATAATAGAGATCATCTCCAAATTTACCAGAATCTGGAGATAAATGCAAGTCTGATCAGCAGGAGACTGTCACTTGATATGGAAACATTTTTTTTACAACCAAAGAATACCCAATTTATGTTTTGAAGGTGGGTTACTGATGTTTGAAAAAAATAATAAGTTAAATGCATGTCCTCGGATTTGGAGATAATCTCCATTTCTAGAAAGAAATGCTTTGATGATGACGTACTATATCAAACAGGATGTACATGAATGTCTTGATAACCTACCTTGGTCTTCTTATATTTTCACTATACAATTTCAGTAAGATAAAAGAACATGTTCAACATGATTTGCCTCAAAAATAGGTGCCCTCACAGATCCGAAGTTCAAGCCCTGCAGTAGCACATTGCATTTTTGAAGGAAACAAGCCCATGCAAGAGGGTAATGTCATTCAACTTTACCTGCTATATGCTGAAAATTTGAGGTTAAGATTTTTCTGTACAGAACGCTTTACAGTGTGGTGTTCTTTTAACAGTTCATCTTTACTGTAGTAGATAGGTTCAAAATTCTGGATAAACTCATTCAGTGGGACTCCTGTGAAAACAGCATAGAGGTTATATGTATATTAACTAGGAAACAAAGGTAACATAACTTTTTTAGATTTGCGGCTTATTGCACATAAATAACTATTAATTTTGTAAGTTGAAGTGTTATGAGGTCATGATATGTATATTTTTGAGTTTGGAAAATGTTTGTACGACGTAACTTCACGGTTTCCCATCACCGTACGTGCTGTAGAGTGTGGGGTACTGTTATTTTTTATCTCAATAGCCACGTACATAAGCCGTTGTGTCCCTGTGGATAAATATTAGACAAATTATCGCTGGATGTTAGTTGGATGATGACACGTTATGGCTGACGTAAAATAGTTCAGTCAAACTTACCCAAACAGACGATTCCAAACGAATCGATCACCAGGATAAATAGCCAATGAAATAACATCTTTACCAAGTTTCACTTCTTCAGAAGGACCGGAATTCTTGGAGATTCTGGGCCTGGGTGGGGGCGGCGACACTGAAGGCGCATTTTTTTAAATTTCTTGGAAAACCGAATGAGACTTTTCAAAATCATACAGTATCTGCTAGGCATCAAGGCATGCGTCAACATCCATTTCTAATATTAGTTATACAATGGGACACAGATTCACGTAACTAAAAATGTTAAAAATGAATGAACTTCTTGCAGACGACATGGGTAAGACAACGCCGGGAAGCAACACTGCCCTCAAGTGGCAATAATGCACTGTAATGTGATCTTGAGAAATTAAAGTTTATTGATGCGATGTTCTTCGACGTAAACAAAACAGCTGCGCCATTTTACGTGTATAATTGTTTTATTGACCAAGAAGCGGTCTTGTAACGGACTTTTCTGGTAGTATTAAATATCAGTTGTTTAGTGACGATCTGGGGCAAATGATTCATAAGTGATTGACAGTTAAACTCTCGTGATTCACGAGATTATGTTCATCAACGCTCATCGTCAAAGCGCTAGCTGATGAGCTAGACGAACATGCTGCCGATAGACAAGTCGTACAAAGGTGGGTGCATTTTGATTCCATTTCATTGTATCTTGAACTTGTACATAACTGTCAAAAATGTTTTTGTTTTCGACTTTGTTTTGGTTTGATGATTGTTGAATTTGATTTATTTACCTCCAGTAGCCTCGGGTCATAACTACAAACACTAGCACCAACACAGTCTTAATTTTCACTGACAGTATCGTCGTTCGTCTTTTTGAAAACATTACTAAACAGTGTGTGTTACCTTTACGTTATAGTGGACTTGTTTCTGTTTAGTATATTTTAACAAGTAGAAAAATAGGCAAAACAACGACGTCGTTGTTGTTGTACAGTCGCCGAGTCAACGATACGTTCTAACAACAACAACAAACTATAAACCCATCTCTGTTGACCGGATGTTTACAAGCATGACGAATAAAGTTGTGTGAATCACTTGGTTTGTCGTGTCCGTTCTCGACGTCGGCTGGCGTTCCGTAGGCGTATTTCATCGTGAGTGATATCCCAGAGAATTTGGCTATCTCAGTATATTAAGAATGAATTATTAATTATCTGTATGAACCAGAAATAAAATTACTAAAAACGTAAAATATCACTGCTGATACATACAGTACGCGGTCCTGAGAAAGCAAATCTTGTGACAATACCGAATTTCAGATTTACTTAAAAAAAAAAATTCCTATATCAAAAGTAATTATTACTAATATTACTACCTGCAAGTCAAGTTTACCGCCAACATGTTTACACATTATCAATATCATGTCTAACTATGGTAGTATAAAATTAAAATTAGCAGATCTAATTTGCAAGCATAGTTCTGTCAAATTATGATTTCGCTATCATTTTGAGTTAAGGGTAGGTCATGTGATAAAAAGCTTATCACCTGACATCTCTTATTCGTAGAAATGGTGAATACTTGTGGCGGCCATAAAAATTTTCATGCCAGTTTTAAATAAAACAGACCATATTAATTTAATATAATTATTACCCAGTACCCACACTTATCATGATGAAGTATTTGCATGGAATGCCATTATTTCAGAACCAACAGAGAACAATGTACTGGTACTTCTACCATTGCTTTTACATATTTACTGATTACCCTATAATATATAATAAATAAATAAACAAAACTATACACACAACTATATAAATCTCTCCTGATAAGGCCTTGTTCACACATGCTGACAAGCGGAGAGCTTGATCGCTTTGAAAATATTTTAATAGGCTGAACCACAGGTTAAGTTTATAGGTCGCAGGGGTTTAACTTGGCTCTCACACCTTTTCACACGCCATTGGTGGCAGTTAAAGGGCATTGTTTTAAACCCAAGACCTTATGCACGAGCCTCATATCTTGTAGTTAAACCCAGAACTCAGAGTCAAACCCAACCCTCTAACGCTGTGGTGGAAATGTTTGTAACATTGTTTACTCTCAGAAAAAAGGAATTGTTTTTGCATCAAAACGATGGTCAGTCTCAGTAATTTTATTAAAGATCAATTGTTTATAAGGATTTTTACTAGAAATTATCAGAAATTAACAGATAGTTTAAGTTAGGTATGTAGAATATGATTTTGTTGCACATTTGTCTAAATTTTTTAGAATTTTGAGTTTCATCTCGTATACAGAATTTTGACAATTTATATTATATGAAAAAATTAAAATTGCTTTAACAAATAATCCAGCTAGTACTTTCATAGACACCAGAATGGTTTGTTTTATTACCACTGAAAATTGCATTGTCACATGACAGATTATTATTTTTTATTATTATTATTTATGAATATTATTTCATTAAGAACAATATTAAACAAAATACCAAGTTAACAATTGTTGTTGGTACTGACAAGTACGTAATTCTAAACAAAACCAAGATTTCAAGACTTGTATCTGGGCTGGTGTCATGTGAGTTGCTCACTGCTGACCCAGAATGACCTCTGCAATCAACACTTAATATAATCTCGTCGTCGTAGTATATTCTACCAATGTCCCGCTCAAAGTTTTGTTTCTAGCATAAATACCAACTCAATAGTTGTATGGGAGAAACCATTACCTCTACAGGGAGGGGTGGCATGAGCAACATGGAATAATATTGTGATATCACATGTCATATTGGAACAGTTGTGATTTATGTCCACAATACCCAGGTGTAAGAATTAACTAACATTTATGTTCAAGTAAACTATCCCAATTACCCCATGCAGTCAAAATATTCTTTAATTAATATAAAATGTAGGGAAGTTGAATCATCAAATTGTCATTCAGTGAGTACTACTGAGTAGTATTGAGAGGCCGTGAAAGGAGTTTATACATCATTATTCTTAGTGTGTAGTGGCGTGTTGTGTACAGTACTTATAATATGACGTGATCAGACCCTATTGTGATTGCAACTTATCATATGTATTATTTCGGATCAGGTGAGTTGTACAGACTGTACCATTAGGTTGTCCTTTTTTTCATAATGTATTGTAATTCTGTTAGGGGTGTATTATTGCATATTGAAGCAAGGGTTTATTGAGAAGAAGTGAGTTTAAACTAGAATGACTTGTGCACCAAACTGGGACATCCTTATAGATATCTGGAAATTAAAATCATTTAATGTTCTGTATCGAGAGCTAATTTATAAGCTGGGTTATATTTTTTTCAGTTTTTTTGTTGAAAGCTGAATGTTTATTCACAATTAACAATGGAATGTATTGTTTCTTTCACAATTAAGGGAATTGAAAACAAAAGCTTTTGAATATCTCTGCAACATCAAATCAGCTAAAATCATTTAACCCATATTTCTCATTCTTCAATAGTTACAAAGTTTCCCTATGCAGTGGTCTATAGCTTATGCATTCACATAAACGACACAAGTGTGTCTATGAACAAAATAAGTCATATTTCAATGAAGAATCAGTATACTTTGAATGTGATTTTTGGTTTTTATGTGCTTTTATTAGAGTTGTGCGTCTAATATGGTACATGTACATGATTTGTGCAAGTATGGATTTGCAGCAGCCTCTGGTTCTGTGGTTGCTACTACCTGTATACATGTGTAGACATGTAAAAATATCAATCTCATAGATAAAGGTGTTAACTCTCTGGATCATTGAGAATAACGTATTTGCTCTATGAGTACGGTAGCGCATGCACTTAAATAAAAGACATACCGATACATGTTGTAGGTACTTAGTCATTGACTTTTTTTTTTATACCTATTACGGTATGTGTTCATTGGGTTCTTGTTTTTATTTTCAGTTTATAGTTTTTTGTTGGTGTTTCATTTTACTTTATTATATATTTCCATTTCTAACTTCATTTTAGTCTGTTTTTGGTTGTCTTTAAACTATTAGCCATTGTAATTTGATTAATTTTTATCGGTAATTTTTGTTGTTTTTGTAACCTTTAATCTCCTTCAGTAGGTTGTTATGAGTTAATAAATTGCATGCCTTCGTTTTCATGCAAATTCAACACTTGGTTTAAAGCAGGTATACATGTAGGTTGTTGCAGTGAGACGTCATTTGTTTGTATTTTTTACTAACTGTTTGCATTATAAAAACACCACCTGTAATGTATCTGAGCACATATGTTTTGAGTAGAGAAAATACAGTAGGTACAGCAAGCAAAATCATATATCAGGGATTGAAATATAATTTTTTTTCTGCATGCACAGTGTGCATGTTGAATTTGAAATTTACCTGCACTAACTTGTTGTGAAATGCACTGCACCACTTTTAAAGTTTAAATAAAATTTACCGATTCTCGATTGACGCAATCACAAACGAATTTGCTTTTTTTTCAGTTGTCTTACAATGTTAGTTGAACTTAATTTAGGCTTAGTGAATATAATGAGAAAATGTCGTGTTAATTTCTACGTGCACAGTGTGCACATTATATTTTGAGTTTACTTGCACTAGCTAATAATCTATGTGCATAGTGCAGTGTGCACCAGAGTATTTCGACCCCTGTATATCCCCAATGATTTATTTGACACATGATAATTAGCGTGTGGTGTTTAATAATAATAATTCAATTACGTTTACAGGGATGGGATATTAAAGTACCAGGTACTAGTGTCGATCACTTGGCCGGCTTCCTGTCACACGCTGACATACAAGCTTTGAGAACATTAGTGCTGGTTGCGCCTTATTTTGGTGGATGCAAATTCTGAGTGCACGTCACGTGAGACCAGTGTCGACCAGCATGGGCAGATTACTTGCTT